CAAAAAGATAAAGTTTATTTTTGGTGAAAGAACAGCTTTAACAAATACAGACATTCCATATTTTTTACTGTAGAAGTGTGTGAGGTATACACTGAGATCTAGATCTGCTGCTGCGTGAGTTCTTTAAGTAATTTAGATTTTTAAATACAACATTCCAATGATACCATAAGACTAATATGCAGCTTTCCTTGCACCCCACATTCACCAGACAATATGCAAAGACCCCAGGAAGTGACAGATCAACTTTAATGAGAAATAATGGATATGTCTACAATAATGAAATAAAAATTTTGCCAAATGTCCACCAGAGTTAATTTTTTCGACTAAAAAGTTTAGTCGAATTTTAGTCGAATTTTTTTGAGATTTAGTCGACTAAAACTAAAACACTTCAGATGACTAAAATATGACTAAAACTAATATGGCATTTTAGTCAAAAGACTATGACTAAAACTAAATTGAAATTTAGTTTTAGTCATGGTCCACCAAAATTAACACTACACAGAGGGGCGGTGGAGGGGGCAAAAGGGATGGACCAGGGCATGGGAGAGAGACACCTGGAGGGGCTAGGAGGACACAAATAGACACAGAGGGGATGGGGAAGGGGCAAAAGAGACAGATAGAGGCTTTATTTTAACGCATTAGATTTTAGTTGTGTTGACTAAAACTAAAACAATTCAGATGTCTAAAATACGACTAAAACTAAATTGAAATTTGCTGCCAAAATTAACACTGATTCCCCCACCTTGAGCAGTCCCTTTTAACAATCTTTTTGGCCGTATATATGTGCTACATGCTGATTGTTGGCACATAAAACATTCTACCAGTGTCATGTACAGGAAAATATTTTTAATGGCACAGAATTTCCAATAGAAGCCCTGTAAGATCTAATTAACTAAAATTTAAGTTTAAATTTTAATATTTGTTTTGCAATAGTAAAGTAATATTCATTCATTTAATTATGTATTTAGTTTTTAATTTGTTTAGCTTTTTTTCAATACATACTTGAAATGTTACACTGCACATGCCACAGTTAACACAGACATTTAGCCTAAACACTCCTAAAAGACAAGCTTGATTCCATCATACAAGGATGTTTATTTACTAAAGTGAGGATTATCAGGAATTTCCAATTCAAAGCCAATTTAAAGCTACATTTCCAATTTAAAGACAATTTAAAGCCAAACATTTTCCAAGTCAGCTAGACTTTCACTTTGACTATTTTAGTTTAAAATTCAATTTTCATAACATTTATCACTTTAGTAAATAATTCTAAAATAAGAAGAAAACAAAGTAAATATTCAACTCCTAAAGCAAATAAGGAAACCATAGTTTGACTCCTTCATTGCACTCTTTTCTGGGTTATTTCCAATTTTGTTCTCTCACCAGGTCCACTTTTAGGGTCCAACCTGGTTTTCTGGTGCACTTCCGACTTTCAATCATATATTTTGTTTTCATTCAAGTGGAACAGGTTTATAAAGGGACAGAGTTAGGACACAGCAAGATTTAATATGTGTTTGTGCTCCTATCAACACATTGATGTCAAGTCACTGTGAAAAAGAAAACCCAATGGACAGTGGGTCAAAATAACCACATGATATCTGCTTAAGATCCCGTAGTTGCATTGATGATTTTATCTGCAATGGGTAGAACTGGATAGAGGAAGAAAAATGGCAAGAAACCCAAAACATCATGCAAAAAAATAAATAAAAAAAAATAATTGAAAAATAATTGTCTTTTGAAATATTAATATTTCTGTTAAATTAATCAAATGAAGGTCTTTCAATGCAGGATATATAATTGCAATATTAATTTTAAATGTATAAATATAAATTGCTCCATACTGGAAGAAAAAAAGTTTTTGGCAAGAAATTATTGGCAAAATTATCCTGGCGTTTATCCTGGAAAATCTAAGTACACAGGCTACAAATTCCCAATCTAAATTAGAAAATGTCTAGAATCCATGGAAAAGTTTTGACAACACATTAAAGTAATCCCAAATGCAGATGGAATCTTCAGGTTCCTATTTATCATCAAACACATAATGATCAATAATTAGTTTGATCTAATTAAATTAGCTTTATTTCTGATTGCTTTATATATTCTGATTGAATCGCATTTCAGATGATTGCTGCTACTTAACTTGGAATTGAAATCAATTGAATTAAAAATGTAAATGAAATAAAACATCAATTTAAAGATTTTCAAAAATAATAAAAACACTAAATAATTACTCTGTAAAATAATTTATATTGCTTTGGAAAGTGTTACATTTTGTTAGCATTAACCATATTTGTTCATACCTGCAACAGCCATGTGTTATTACAGTAATGGTTCAGTCTGCCTACATGAACAAGCTTAACATGTCCTTATGCTAGAAGCTCCTGCAATATTTTTTTCTATTTCTTTACAGGCAGCTGGTTCACTGACACTTTCAGAGTATAAATGCTAAACTGGCTGCATTGTTTCCCGCTTCTTTAAATTCTCCTTGTAACCATATATCTGAGGACAGGATCAATTCACCAGTGCAGATATAGTGGGATCCAGTTCCCAGAAGCTATCATCCTTAAAATAGATACTGGAAACAATGGCTATACCAGATTCTACATAGGTTGATTTATTTCAAATCTTGCATGGTGGGGGTCCGAAACTTAATAGATTCACGGATGTGGATGCATACCTCCCAATTTCGGCATCCTGTGAAGAAGGGATGCCAGTAGGAAGGGTAAAAAGGGGGCAGGCCAGTGACTCAATTGGCGTCACTGGCTCCATTGCAAGGGGCAAACCTGCCTGAAAAGGGGTCTGCCTATAGAACTAACAAGTAAGCCTGGCATGAGTACTTGCCAGGCTGGCTCCTAATCAAGTAGGTCATCTCACCAAAGGCAAACAATGCAGGGAGCACAGTTTATGCCCTGATCATAGCACAAGCGTGCCTAATGATACACACTTGCTATGCTTGTTTAGAACATTTCCTTGGTATCCCCAAAGGTAGGACACTAGGGAACAAAATCAGAATGGTAGGACATGAATCAAAGTCTTGACTGTCCCACCGAATTCAGGATGGTTGGAAGGCCTGTGAATGAGGCCATGGTATTGCAGCATGGAGCAGTTCCTCTGACTAATGCATTGCATTAATCATTATAGTAATCTCCATGTATTAGACAGTTTCTGTTAAGTTCTGTTTTATACAATATCTTTACCAGAGATCATGATACCTAACAAATCATACTCTTAAAAATACTAATACCTGCAGGAAGAATAAAGATATAATATATGATTTAGCCATGTGCACTGCATGCACCAAAGTATTTGTACATGCTTTTAGTTTAGTCGGTTGAAGCTGTTTTAATCATAATCATTACTGACATGTATAAAAATGTGTATATATTTAAGGCACACTGCTACAATATCTCTATAGACAAGCACTGTCAATGAAATTCGATAGAGTTTTATAAAAAATTCAAAATGAAATTGCACTGTACTTGGATGTCACCTACAAACATAGCATTAGCTATATGACTAAATTTGTCAATTTATACATATTGGTAAATGTGTGCATCTGTATTTGTGTGGATGTATGTGTCTACATTTTAAAATATGTCATAAAATCAAGCAAGGATTCAGCCCTGTTGTACTTTTTAAATTTGCAACAATATTTTGAGGAAGACTCATATTTCAACTTTCCTTATGTGCAACGCAAACTCTGGCAAAGTATAACAACTTGTCACAGGTTAATTGACAGAAGTTTACTGTACTTCACAGAGCTTGTACCAAATAGTTTGTGGGACAAGGTCGAATGTCGATTGGGAGTCTAGTTGACTTGACTAACAACAGTCAATTGGCACCAACTAATGCTGAGTTGAAAGAAATAGAAATCTACTGAAATGTGTTCCAGGAAGAGTGGACACTATTACAGCATCAAAAACCAATGTCATATTAACATCCATGCTTTTCAAATAAACTTTTTAATGAGGATATGTCCACATATTGTTGGCCACACAGTATATCATTCTTACAGGGAGTTTTCCCTTCAAGATGACCAAAGACCTTTGAAATGGCAAAGACTTGCATATTAATTGTTACTGTTACTGTACCCCATATGCATTTCTGAATACAGCTTCTTGAGTCACTATATTTTTTCTTTCAGCACAAAGAATTCTTTATGTCTGCATATGAGAATAGAAAAAGAGGAAACAAAAAAACATAATCATCATCATTTATTTTATGATGCATGAGCCCACGTTTTATGCACATACTAGAAAGATTTTATAATTTGTGTACACCATGCAGAGCAATGATAAACATTTGGTTGTTTAGTTTTTATTTGTATATAAGTAAACCTCAATTGCAAAGCCGGAACTGCCATTTCCTCTGAAAGCTTAAAAAATGCAATCTGCATGTGTGTATTACATCACAAACCAGTTCTTAATTGCAATGTTATTCAGGGGAAGTAATAGTAGCATAAAGGTAAAAATAAAAGGGTAGATTCAGAAAAATTTAATTAATTTGGAGAATTAATATTATTATTATTATTATTATTATTATTATTATTATTATTGGTATTTATTCTGCAGCGCTTTACAATAAGAGGGGAATGGAATGAAATCATTCCATTGCAAAGATTTGCACAATAATATATAAAGTAATTGATTTATTTCTATTGAGTGATCATATGACTCCAGGAGTGTTGAGTATTTTTTAAAGATGGCAAGTACACACCAAAAAGACCCCCAGTGCATCCAGTCCATACCAGACTCAACTCACAATTCGAACAAAGTAAAGGACTGTTCCCAAATTGGAAGAACCAAGGCAGATTTTTTGAATCACAATCAACAACATTTCAGCTCCAGAAGAGCCTAATCTTATGCCTGAGAAGGTATCTATTGGAGCCAAAAGTTACTGATTGTGATTCAATAAATCTGCCTTGGATCTTCTCCAATTGAGAACAGGCCTTTTTATTCTATGATCACCAAGAGCCTTCCACAATTGATTATTTGTCACAGGGGCAGAGCAATGGGGGCTGTAAAGCAATCTGATCTATAATTTAACCACCACCATCTTACCATAGAAGGGATGGAAGTATGAGCATGGGCGGCAGTGGAGTATCTGACTCTTTACATCTACTTCCTCACTCTCATTGACTGTGGAATGCAAGGGAACAAACAAGTGGGATTCTTCTAGTTAAAAGTATTCTCTCTTTTCTGTGGAGTTTTGGATAGGATCTTGCACAGTTGGGAAGTCATCTTGTCAACAGACAAATGACACCCTTTGAGAGCCTTGTGACTTTGCATAACCCATTTCTCTGTTGTGTTTCAACTATCTACAGGCTACTGCTGGAAGTACCAGGAGCTAGTTGCCCAGCTTTCATGGGCAGATGAGATGTGGATTAATTTAGTTAAATGTAGTCTCTCTTTCCTGGGGAGAATTCCTAGAATCTTGCACTGTTGGGAAATCATCTCCTCAACAGAAAATTGCATTAATTGAGGGCCTTGTGACTTTGAACTCCCCATTTTTCCATTATGTTTCAATTATCTGCATGCTACTGCTGGGAGTGCCGGCAGCTAGTTCTCTGGCATTCATGAACAGATGGGATGTGGTTTTTGACCATGTCCATATAGATAAGGAATGACAGAAGATTACACAATACTGCTTGATCACCATCAAATTCCAAGAGGCTGCATATAAACCACTGATCTTTGTGTATCATATTCACACAATTTTGGCAATGTTTTTTTTCTCAATTGATCTGACATGCTGGTACTGTGACCAGGAACCGTTTGCCTATCTCCATGTATGATGGAGCTGCACTCAGATTCTTACATACTGATCTCATGTTCACACAGTTATGACCCAAGTACATGATCAGAATCTCCTCTTGTGTGATGAGCTTTAAGCAGTAAGTGGGCTGTCACCTGGCTGCCATGCCTTTCTTTGGAGATCTGAAAAGGTTCCCTTTTTTGGTGAGTGAGAGGGCAGAGTGGAGAGGCTGCTAAAAGTGATTGAATTTGATTCCTTTACTGCTTTCTTCCTACCATTCTAATTGCTTCAAATGTTCTCTTTCTATGAAATGTTTTGGTGTATAGATCATGGCTTTGCAGTTTTACTGCTCAATTCTTTGTCTATTATTTACTTTGTTTATGCAGACCACCCTCAACTCCCCTATCACAAGTGAAATACACAGGCTTCCTACATACTTCCTGTAAAGAGAAATCTATTTCAAACTTCCTTTATTGCACAGTGTATTTAATTTAGAATTTTGTATCTCCTGCTCTGTTAATAACCTGCTTGAGCCTGCAGAAGCTACATGTATGTGAGTAAAGTTCGATGCAGAGTAGGGGTTAATAAATTCTACAGTAAGCACACAAATAGTTACTTTATATGATGTGACACACTCAGAGATAGTTCCAACAATATTCAGTTTTTTTGTGATAATATGTTTTTGCTTTATATTTTGTCAGGTTGTTTTCAGAGAGGTTAACACACTTCTCAGAATCTTTGTCATGTATGGATGGATGGTTTTGTATTATCAATGCATAAATGGAACTTCTACATTGACTGAAGTACAACACAGAGGATGGACTTTAATACCTAAGATAGGTTTAAAAAAATTGAGGAAATCCAAATAATGCTAGCCCTATATCCATTGTAATAAACAGTGATGTTGCTGAAAGTCAGTGACTTCAAAAAAGTGGTTGACTGGGCTAGAGCCCCAGTTGGGCCCCCAAAAAGCCTCAGGTCTAAAATATGCCCATTATTACTATTATAGTATTAGCTCTTGGGACTTGGAGGCTAAATGCACAGAGAACACTGCAGTCACATGCCAGTACTTGACATGCATAGAACAGCACAGAGGAGCTAGGAGGTTGAGGGGATGGAAGGCATGGCAAATGGATTAAGTCCCCTATTATTAAGTGGGTGCTCCCCCTGAGAAGGGGAGGTGACCGTATAAAGCTCTTGCAGAAAAATAAAGTATTTTGGATTTTTACATTGAACACTATGTATAGCGAATTTGCTTTACATTCATTTTTCTAAATGATGTATTTCTATACACTATTTAATTACATTTATTTTATTTATTTTCCCAGGTGGCATTGGTACCTGATTTCCCCTAGGCACCATTAAATACCCAGTTGGTGTTGTTGGAGGTAGGACACCAACAGCTACCTTTAAACTCTTGATTCACTTTACTCAGAAGTGGAATATTCCTCTCTACATACATCAGTATTTGATCTTTCTATGGCTCTGACAATCCTCAGGGTTAAGATAATAACTAAGTGTAATATTTTTTACAGGATTATGATACGTCTCTTGTATTATACTTTGGATTTTTTTTTCCAGTTTTGTATTTGTTTAGTTCACATTGTTTAGTAGATATACCTCTTTTTCATGAAATAATTAGTGGGTGTACCATATGATCATGTGATTTTGTTATTTAGCACATTGGATCTGTATATATATGTGGCACTTTCCCATTGCAACTATATGTATGACTGGGCATATGGCTAAAATATGGCAGAAATTGGTGTTTTCATTGTTTTCTGGATTCGAATAAAGACAGCCTCCTAATTGCATTAACCACAGTGACACCATCTAAATTTGTATTCCTTGCACTTTGCTTAAGAGGAATTTGCAGGTCACCAGGCAGCGGGATGTGAATGTTGAGGCTTCCGGCCATTCGAGCATATTTCCTAAGTTAACACATGATTGTGACATTTTGTTGGATTAAGCCCCCTGTCACCCTCTGGAACACTGTGGCTAAAGAGTTTGCTCAGTGAGGCAAGTAAAACTATTGTCATATCATTCTGTACATTATGTGGTTTCACTGGGACATAGACATCTAGGAGGATATTGCAGGCTACTTTACAATTGTGTATGAGATGGAGTGTGGGATTTTATGGGCCACATGAAGGGAATGATGTGGGATGTACAGAGATACCCTGTCTGTTATTTAGGTTGCTAGATAGGACCAGCCAGAAATGGGGTGCATTGGTGTTGTGGCAGGCTTATGCAATGCATGATCATATACTGTAACTAATTCCCCATTATTTTCCCTAAGTCAGGTGTTTTTTTAAAAACTATTAAATATTGTGAGAATCAAAGCTGGTATTTAGTGAGCGAGTTAGTTTGTTGGATTCTGTATGTGTATGTGTTCTGTATTAAATGGCCCCAGTAGCTTCCTTGTAATGTAAGCTTGTTTAAGTAAGTGCAGACTTCCTAGTTTCATATAATAATTGATGGTATTAATAAATGATTGTCATTTATTCTGCCTAGCACTGTATAAGACTATTGCATGGTGGAAAGATTTGGTTTGATGGAATTATTTCATCCCAAAAAAATAGTTTAGGTAGTCCAATATTCAACCATGTGTTGGTTCAGCTTGCCCAAATATTGTCCATGCAAAAATATTTGGGAACATGTTATGGATGAGCCAAAATGGTATGGAAATGGGCCAATCACTGTACTGCAAAATATATACACAATATTGCCTAACCATCTAATTGTCCCCTAACCATCAATCATCAATTTTTTCCATCAGTCATCTCTTTTTTTGAGTCATGGATTGGTGCATCATAGCGCATATGTGCATCACAGATTGTGACTCCAGTGACAAAATGAAAAAGTAGGAGTTTGTTGTACACAATTATTAGTGGCATTTGGTACGTGCTTGCTTTAAGTTATGTATAAAAAGATGTATGATTGCTTTAAATTCCTTTAGTGTCCTGCACTATTGTTATATTTTGTTTTAGTAGATGTATTCCATCTCCTGCTCTGGGTCTGCCACATTGAGGTTCTGTGGAGCTGTTACATCAAGGACTCTTATTTGAGAATGTTTATGAGTGCAATAAATTTCCTTATATCACTTGAATGGTGTGTGAGGATCCTACACTATTATTTTATCTTGCATTTATGTTAGGACTGGCCATATACCTAAATATTTTTTTCTATATCAGTCAACTATTAAAGGATCACTAGAGGAACCCAGACCACTAAGTTTCAATTAAGTGGTCTGGGTGAAGTAGCCATTTGGTTATACCCTCCCAAAACTTGATGTTTTGTAGAAACTGCAATGTTTTCACTGTGGGAGTAACACATATCAAGTTTCGGTCTAGAGTCCCTTCTGCACTGGCAAAGTAATTAAACCTTAGGGATGCATTGGATTGGCTGACTACCTTGAGGCTGATGATCTCAGCCAAGGAGGCAGGGTGGTTACAGGGAGAGTAGTGCAGCGATGGTCAAAAGGTAAGTAAGCCTACCTTTTTCCATGCATAAGAGGAGGATGGGAGAGGGCGGTCACCTAAACAGCTACAAGACACTATAGCGCTAGGAATATATGTTTTTATGCAAGAGATGCTTTTAGACCTATATAGTATAGTATTCCTTTAAGACCAGGAGACGGTTCTTGGGGAGTTTGTCCATATTGCTGAGAATTCTATTCCTCTTATATCATTGAGTGAATTGTGTTTTTGGGTCCATTATTCTGTATTTTTTTTATTTTTGTACTTATTAGTTTTAGTTGCACTTTTTACTCTCATTTATGTAATTTATGTATAGACTAGCAGTCAACACATGCAAAATCATTCTGAACACAAGTTAAACTATGCAATTTGTATATTGCTTAGTCTTACACAATATCTTTATTTAGTTATTCCATAACCAATGTTCAATGTGTACTACAATTTTTAGCAAATGTCAAATAGTGTGCAAAATAGCTTATAGCAGTAAATAATATTGTGTAAGCATTCAGAACTGGCAAGAGTGCTGGACTAATGACATAATAATAGTTTTTGGCAGTAGAATAGGAGGAGAAATTCGAAACATACTGAGTCAAATGTACATCATGTGGTTTTATAAGCTCACCTTTTACTTCAGGAGAATTATTCCGTTTTTTTGAATTTTTTAAACAGGTACAGGGGAGAAAGGATTGTTAACTTTGGCTATTTAATGTAAACACAAGTGCTCTAATGAAGATGTGATTCCCTGGCAAGTGTATATATATATATATATATATATATATATATATATATATATATATATATATATATATATGTTATATGTAATGTATTTATTTATTTACTTCTGGTAGCAAATATCTAAAGTGTATAAAATGTATTGTGAATTTGTGAAATAGTTGAGCAACAGTGATATGATTTCTATAATGAAAATCCTGATTTAAAAAAAAATACTATTGTTTATAAAAAAAAAACAATAATAATACACATAAATACAAACAGTATTGTCCA